GGACTACCTTCATCCCCAATTAGTCCGGATAATCGAGGTTCNATCCACGATTTTGCCTGCAGATACAACGAAAAACAATTGCAGTTTAATTGTTGGGAAAGTTTCCATTGGCTCGAAAAGAACTATTTCCACACAGACGATTTCAAACGGTGTGAATAAAGCAGCATTTACAAATTATTAAAGTGCGACATTTTCAAAGTAGAAGAATCTGATTTGGTGTATGCGCTTTTCGAGTGGGTCGAGCAGAAATTTTGTAAACTGAGAGAAACAAACGACGACATTTCGACGGGATAAATAATAAGACCGTTCCTGCCGTTGATTAGATTATCCATGTTGGAACCACAGTTAATAGAACAACTTTTGAACTTGATTAGCAATGTTTGCATTTCGACAAAAGAAGTTAAATCCATAAGAAGATATCAAATTCAAAAAAATGTCGCGACTCTTCCACCAATAATATCTGCTTACGCTAAACCGAGAAGAACTTCTGAATATTCTTCGTTAACTGCGGTAAATTTCATGACTTATGAAGAGTTGAAACGAAATTCAAGAATGAAATTAATTAATCGGTTTATGGCTGATTTATGGGTTTCCAAAAGTTGTGTGGTAAATGCGATTGTGCTTCCGATTAACCATCGAAATCCTGAAGGAATAAAGGTTTTAGTCGGCGTGAAGTCGACGTATTCGCAAGATTTCGTCTACGAGAAAGAGATCTGTGGTATGGACGGAATTATAGATTTTCGAAAAATGAAATATTTGCGGGAGCGCAGCTTTAACATATTTTTAGTGAAGGTTGCGAAGGAAGAAATAAAATCAACCTTCATTGAGATTTTAAAACGATCTTCCGAATATACTCCGATATACGCACTCCGAAATGAAACTATTGGACTTATAGGGCAAAAAATAATATTTAATTGTAAAATTTCTCCTATTTTCTAAACTTCGTGAAACTGTTTAATATCGGTTACTTTATGTTTTCGTTTCCGCTCGAGAAAGTACGTAATTGAACTGTGACGTCTGTGGTTTTTACAGAATACAATAATTAATTTTGAGTGTTTAAATAATTACACAATATAAATAATCTGTACACGTGAGGTGATTGTTGCAGACGAAACCATTTTTGTGAAGTTATTGAATGACAATAAATTTTAAAAACTTGTTTTTTCATTTTTTTATTGCATTTTTACAAATAACATCAAATAGGTGTTAGGTGTTTATTTCATACATTCGTTTTACAAATGACATATTATATGAAATAAATATGAAATAATAATTATTTTTATTATTATAAAATTATTATTTCAATACAATAAATTATAACATTGTAGCTATATGACACTTGTAATGAACAACTTAAAACATTTTAAAAATATTCATTAATTTTATTTATTAAAATTAATTTATGAAAACGATTTAATATACTGCCTATATTCAATAATGTCATTCAATAAGATATGCAAACGTAATAATTACGTAAATAAAATTAATATGTGAAATAGTATTTAATTATCTTTATAGTAGCGATAACATTTATAAGACGACAAAAGTGTCATCTCATAAATGTTTAGCTATTGTTATTGTTCCCATAACAATTCCATCGTAGTTCTAATATAATTTTGGTTATGTAAGTGATATAAGTCAATTTGTAGGGCCGAGTTCGAGTGGTTAAGGTGGCATTACGCTGCTCTCAGATTATGAAAACGAATCTCTCGCTCTTTATGTACACATGGAGAAAGAGTAAAATTATGGTTAGGAAACACGGGAGCTAATCTGGATGAAAGATATCCCTAGAAATTTTTTTTGAATATTTGGTGAGGGACAAAGCCTAATATATCTAGCCTTGTACTCGAGCCCGCAACGAACATTGTGAAAAGGACCGTTTGTGATCACGGGGTGAAAAGGAAAACAAAATGAATGTTTGCAGGAAAATTAACACGAATTCATGTGTGAAGTACTCTTAAGTGACGTGTTTAATTTGTAAATATCCTTTATTAATTAATTAAAAACGCATGCAGAAAATGAACCACAAACTCTGGATATCATTAGACTTTAATACAGTACTAATTAATAAATAATCACGTGTTGTAAGATTATTAGTAATTTTACGTAAGAGTTAATGTGGATTGAACTTGGACCCTTCAACGTTCAGAGAGTTTCGAGAAAAGAAGAAAACGCAAAACGCAATTTAAAGAATTTTTTAATTGCCTGATATTACAATATTACAATATAATATAAATGTTAAAAGTACGAAAGAATATTAATGTTTGTTGTTATTCTTTGTTCGAGCAATGCCGGGCTCATCTGCTATTATTATTACATATAAAGATTTATTGTACTAAATTATGCTAATTACCTGCTTTTTTGATCATGTTAATTTTAAAAGACATTTTAATAAATCAAAAATTCTGAATTAGAGAAAACAAATTTGTTTTCGAAAGCAAATTTTATTTGAATTTCTAATTTTTGCAAAAAAAAATCAATTTCTTCCATTTTCAGTGAGAGAAAATCAAGTTATAAAGAAACCGGAATATAAAGTAAAATTTTCTCATGTATTCATTAAAAAAGTAGCACATAAAGGCACTACGGAAATCGATAAAATCAACGTGTGTATGTGATAGAAAATATAAAAATAGCAAAATATTCAGAATGGGTAACGCTATTTTTCAAACCTCATCCGAAAACTGCTCACAAAGTGCTGATTGGATAACAATAAGTTCTAGTTCTTAAGACTTCTTTGCAAAAAATTCTTGAAAACTTTAGTAGTGTCGATAATAGAGTGCATAAGAAGTACAGTCGATCCCCCTTGTAACACTGTTGATAATTCCGCTTTATATGAATTCCATGTTGTACGAGTCACTTAGATTTTACAAATACGTGGGCCGGGCTGTGAACGGTTCACGTATTTGTAAAATCTAAGCGATTCGTACACCATGGAATTCATATAAAAAGGAATTATCAACAGTGTTTTAGGGGGGTCGACTGTAGTTGAACTTCTTAGTCACGAAAATTTAACGAGACAGAAAATTTAAATGATAAAAAATTGTCTGGTCGTCCAAAATTTACTTCAGAAACGACATAAATCAGCACTTTGCGCGTTTCTTTTGTTTTAAAATTGTTTAAATTTGCAAGACGTGTCAGAAAAAAATTAAAAACTGTAATTAAAAATTTAATTTCAAAAACAACGGTTTAGAATTATTTGCAGAAGACGGGTCATAATCAGCCAAAGTGGAAAAGAAACGTCGTCTGACAAAACTTGAAAATTAAAACCATTAACCTGCACCAAAACGTATGACTTGTTTGGTGGTAAAAAGGTAAAAAGTCATTTTCAGTGAGAAAATATATTTTGTGTTTGTTTAAATTATGCAGGAAAAGTTTGAGGATTGAAGTGTGAAACCAAGAATCCACATTGTTTACAACTTGTCATTAAATTTTATACAAAGTTGTAATAATGTAAGGCTTTCTTAATCATATTAGACTTGGAAAATTGTCATTTCTTAACGAGAAATATCTGATTTCTCGTTAATACAAAAATTATCTAATAAAAAAAAACTCTAGCATAAGTTGCGTAACTTTCCCTGCTTTTATGAGATTTTATTTGAAAAATAACATTTATATTATGAATCAAAATCAATATCTGAAATTATATGTGGCGTAATCTATTATCAGATTTGTTATAAAAAGTTTATATACTTTTAATTATTATAAAATAGCAAAAGACTTAATTTTGAAAGTAGAAATCAATTTTATTAAACACTATAAATGCTAACTACAAGTAAAATCTTTATTAAGTCCGACCCCTCGCCAGATATATTACGTGACTACCTCTATCTCTCTATCCTCTTGACTTTTTCACAACCAAATTTTAATACTCTCAATGCCTCTTATATAGAAGCTATTGGGCCAAACTTTGTTTGTTTATCTTCACCCCGTCCGAAGATATTTGGCGAAATAAACGCCAATGCACGCACGCACACACACACAAACAAACAAACACAAACATACATTTCCACGAAATTGTTTTGCCGTATTTTTGACTTTTTTTGGGTTCAGGAGGTCTCATGGAGATTTGCAAAAAACTCGTAGAGTAAAATTTGACACGATTTCATTATTCTTCCTTATTACGTATAGGTTACACAACAGCAGCGAAAGTAAAAAACTCTTGAATTAGCTAAGAAACTCACCAGAATTGTTCCTAATTGAAAGTATTTGGTACATTCGTAAAAAAATTACCGCAAAACATAACAAACCAATGAACAAAATTTAAATGAAAAACAAAAACTTGGTCTAAAATTAGTCGTAAACAATAACAATTACTTATTAATCTAATAGAATAAAATCTAAAACAATAAATAGGCTGCAATTTGAACAAATTATAAATTTACACACTCGTATGGCTGTCTGTCTTCTTTAATGTCGGGAACGAGTAGATAGGTGAAAGCCCGATTCTAGATATAGAAAGACTAGGGACAGAATGCTTCGATTAATCATATAAGAATTTCCGCTCTGCACAGCAGGTGAGGTTATTTTAATTAAACTTTTCCCCTAATCGGAGTCAAATGTCCGATACGACTTCATTCACAACAGGAAAGTATGATATTGAAAAATTTAGAGTAATTTAACTGCATGACAATATGACGACCGTTGAATGACAATACCTTGAAAAAAACGCAAAAAAAACTAAATAAGGAGATATTTGACCCTGTGTTTTAATATGAATATTTTCATCTATACATTAATTTCTAAATATAGAGTTAAAAAGTCATACGTTATAACTTTTATTTTAATAATTATCAGGTAAGTTTAATTGAAAATTTTAATCTATGCACTTCATAAAATCGAGTAGTTCTTAATACATAACTTGTGTTTAAAATATTTTGTAAGCGTGGATAAATTTTACTTTAATTCTCGAACAGATAGATTTTGACTGTTGTGTTGAATGTTTGGTGTGAGAAACATGAGTTGAGAATACGAGAAGGTGCATCAGTTACGCTTGGTCTTTATAAATAGATATGGGTCGCCAGTACAAATGCTTGAAAACTGTACTTGGCCAAAGGTGTCCTGATATAACACAGCATTAGAAGTGTTAAAAAAAAACAAATGACAGAAAAATCAAACAATGGACGCCGACGCAAGTGCCATAGTATAGGCCATCATCGGTAGGTTTCGAAATTGAGCCATCAACTGAAGTGTCGGGATGTGAGCCTATTGCTGAAAATATAGCAGAGACACCTCTCTTTTATGGTTCGATGGAATGTTTACTAAATCATAATAAAAGTACATATTATTAATTTTATTACAGTATTAATTTGATTATAATATAGGAATATTTATGAAACTTGAATATATTTTTATACATTGCTAGTGTTGAGATTGCAGTTAGATATTTGAGTTTGTTAATTAATTAAACTAACTATAAATCTGCTATTGTCTTTTAAATACGGGAGAAAATATCTTACGTTTTCACTAAGCATTAAATAAAAGACATCATTTTAAAACATAACTAAATATTTGACGTTTTGAAAGTTATCCTCAGTCAGATTATTATAACTATATAATATTTTAAATCAAAAATTATCATATACACTGAGTGGGATAAATTAAACAATAATTATTATATTTTAATATATGAATTTTGAGGACAGTTCAGCATTCTTAGTCATCCAACAATTCGATATTGTGAAAAATTATATTATCTATCGACACTACTGAATATATTTATAGCGTTAAATTCAGTCTACAAAATCACATGATTAAATATCCAATCATATGAAATAGTTTTTGTAATCGAAATAATTGTAAAATTTTATTTTTGAAATTTTTTAAATTAATCTTTATACTGTTTGCAGGAAACTACAAAGTGCATGGACATTTTCTTGCATTTTCTTCTCAAGTTACCATCTGTCATGTGTCCATGTTTGAAACGAAGAAAGTAGAGTGATCGATATTTAATAAGGTATGTAAAGTATTATGTGAATTTTAATTCCTTACGTTTCTCTGATACAGGTTAGTCGATTTAGCACGTTTATGTCAATCACTTTTAAAACAGGCAAAGGTTCACACAAAATGCCACTCATACCAATGAACAATTCCAACGGAGTCTAATGCTGCGAAGTCCTGTCATAAACACTAATCGGAAATCTTTATTGTCTTACAAAATACTGTTAGAGATTTAGAGTATAAAAATAGAAAACAAAATTACACTTAGAGAAATGTTTCAGTCTTTCTGGTTTTCTACATTTTCTACACTTATCTGTCACTAATGCCATTTAGTATATGCGAAAGGGTGTTTTAATAATTGTTTCATTAATCATTTATTTCCCATATTTTGTATCTATTTCCTCTAAAAACCAGTGGTAACTTGCGGAATTAGATGCAATCGGCACGCCGATATTTATTTGTATTTTAAAACGTCGATTAATGCCGCGTAACTCGATGCAAAAACAGCTTTATTCTGAATAATTAAGTGTAATTTACGATTTCGAAGTAACGGAGATTTTGTATGAACGCAGTTACAGACCACCGTAATATTATCTTTGCTAACACGGTAGTTTCGTCTCTGGAAAGTAGCTGTGGTGATACAACAATTCTGTTACGCCCACAGTCTATTTCAATTAATTTAGTACTGTAAATAACAAAACTTGCCATAACAGAAGCTTCCAGTGGTTATTGTTCTTAAATAAGCTTTACTGTATTAATAATAGAAAATTTCGTATTGAAATTACAATTAATACAATGGTACGGTTATTGCTATGCTGTAAGAGTTTTTCACTGTATAGTCTATGAACGAGATTACGTGCCTGAGTTAAGAGGGTTTTCTTATAATTAGAATAGTAATAATACATACGTTCGAAAAATTATAATATCGTGGATTGTGCTACATAAAAGTTAAATACACAGCATCTATGGCTGCGCTCGAGTTTCCAAACCATCGAATTTCATCAAAATCAAGTGACGTCTGCATACCACCATACATATAAAGAGTATATGAATGTGACTGTGTGTCCATAACTAAGCACGTAAACTGGTTTTCTAAAGTAATTCAAAGTGTTTATATTATATTTTGATGTAACACAAATAATGATTTTAAAAAAACTTATAAAATAAACCAACATTGTGAACACTAGGGCAATTCTTCGAAACTAATTTAATATCCCAGGAGTCTCCGTTACTCCAGTTTGGGTAACACAGATCGGTTGATCTATGGTAAACATTGGCCAAGCATAGGCCGTTTGTTCGTACATTGGATGAGGAACAATTCTTTGAATGTAATCGAAATGTGTTTATTATTTACAGAAAAATGGATATGAAATAAATTAAAAATAACAACAAATTTTTACATTTTAATTTTAAATAATATTCTTTCAGGAGAAACTTCAGAGAATGCCAATTTTCTTCTTCTTTATTATTTTTCTCCTTGAATATTATAAAAATTTCTGTTTATGAAGTAAACCTGTTAGAAGAAATGTGTTGAATCAGTTACGCTGTTAAATAAGAATTTATTAGAAAGTTGCTTGGTGCATTAAAAAAAAAATCTTTTAAAAAACCACCGACAGAATCGTGTTTATAAAACATATTTTATCTTTCCAACAAGAATTTCGTCACAGGAGAATTCTGAAGTTTATGTAAATCTGGAGGCAACCTGCAATTTATTTTGGCAACGATCGAATGCTTTTAAAATTTTGTTTGCAGATTTTCTCTAGATTTATATTGATTGTTATAACCATGAAAGCGTAAACGGTTTATGGCTTATTCTTTGAATCTCTTTACAACTTTCTTACATTATTCTGAAACAATGGAGTTGATCTGTGTGTTGTTTAAATTTAAGAAAATTAATTTTAAAAATGTTTAAAATTATGTACTTGTGATATTTTGTGTAAAAGAGTTTTTGTGCTTTAAGTATTTAGGCCTATTTGTTAAAATTATTGAACGTGTTAAAGCAAAAATCGTTAGTATTCATGTTTTATTCTTCTAATCAATAAAATTTATATGTCTTCATGCTGTGTGTCGTTAAATTTTTCAAAGACAATATTTGGTTATTTTTACATCTACACCACAAAATATAAAGATAAGTAGACACTCACAAATATATAAAAGTGTTAAAGTAGAATGAAGGAAGTAAGAAAGCTTTTTGGTAGGAGGGAATTGAGATGTAATTGTTTCGTTTATCCAGCTGTATAAAGCGTACAACTATATTATAACTGTTTAAATTATTTGATAAAACCTTAGCGAAACAAGCCATAAATTCAAGAATACACCAAAGATATCATCTAGAACAGGGGTGTCCAACCTTTTTGTTTTTCTGGGCCGCATTTAGAAGAAGTCAAGGAGTTTTGGGCCACAAGTATATATAATATATACTCGTGGCCCAATATACAAGTATATTTAAAAATTAACATGTCTAGATTATAATAATAAGTACTGTATTAAAACTTTATCAAGAAAAAAAGATATTTTAAAAAATTACTTCTACAGACACTTTCAATTTTTACTTAGAAATAGATAAATTCATTTATTATAAAAGAGACTAAAGAAAATTTATTTGAAAAACACAAATATTTGTTTTATTTGGGTCTCTAATTAATAAAAAGCGACGAAACACCATTTTAAAGTGCATTTTTATTCAATTAATATAATTATAAATAATATGTAGCCGAAAAAGTAGCCAAAGCGCCAAATGATATTTTTTACGTCAAGCAAAAAAAAAGTAGCCACATTTGGCCCAATGTAGCCAAATCTTGCAACGTTGGAAGAAATACTAAATAAAGCTGGAGTTGTGAATCAAAGGATTATAGACCCAAGTGCGGGGAAAAAGAGGCAAAGGACAAAAGATAAAGAAGTGAAAAAGGTTGAAAAATTACGGCTCCATATTTGCTTAACAGAAGATCTATTTAACGTTTCTCATTACTACATGTTTTGTCCTTTCTCATCTTTCCTTCCTTTTCCCAAATTTGGGTCTATAATCCTTTGAGTCACAACTCCAGCTTTATTTAGTAATCCTTCCGCATTCACACATCTCCAAGTATTTGAAAATATTTTCTTTCCACTCAAAAATAAAATATGAATAAACGGCTTTGTGAAACTTTTTTTTTTGAGTTTATGCCGTTGAAATAAATAAATAATAAAAAAATTAAAACATTTGTCGGTTTTGTTTACACGTTTATTGGGCCGCATTGGAAGTTGCCTTGGGCCGCATGCGGCCCGCCGGACGCGGGTTGGACACCCCTGATCTAGAATGTCAGATAAAAAGAAAACTACAGTCGACCCCCTATAACACTGTTGATAATTTTGTTTTATATGAATTCCATGTTGTACGAGTCACTTAGATTTTACAAATACGTGTGCCGAGCTGTGAACAGGTCACGTATTTGTAAAATCTAAGTGACTTTTACAACATGGAATTCATATAAAACGGAATTATCAACAGTGTTATAGGGGGGTCGACTGTGTATACGACATCAACAGGAGACCGACTGGGCGAAGGACACCCGGACGACAAAATGAGAGACGAAGAATGTTTACAAGTGGCTTGGAAAGTCCCGAAGGACAATTACTATCGATTCCCAAAATTAACGAATATACGTAAAGAGCAAGACAACAATGACATAAAAGTGAAGACATTAGGTTATACGTTAGAACGAAAAAGTATAAAAGTTCTTCAAAAGAATCGGTTTATGTTTGATTTGAATTGGTAACCTCATCTGACGTTAAATAATTAGTGCCAAATTATTTAACCCTGTATTATCATAAAGGAATGTCATTGGCTTGGTTAGTCGCTTGTCCTCGAGATGCATCCTTAGTTTAACATGTAAATTATAATCATTAAAATGTATTATTTATTCAAATTCGTAATTTAAAATTAAAAAACATTTTTACTGAAAGTTCGAGACGAGACCAATGAATTCTATAAAGATAAAGATTTCCAATACAGAAGAGGTATTATTTAAAGAAAATGTCTTATAAATAGTTGAATAATATAATTTATTTTCGTTTCAAAGACGTTTAAAATATTATTCATTTGTAAAATTAAAAGAATAAAGTTTAGAAGCTATTAATTAAGCCGTATTGTATTTTTTTCACATTTAAGGTTGTCCGCCATTTAGTTTCGATGGGTCTTTTTCTGGAATGTTATAAATTCATTGAATAAATTATTAATATGCGCTTATATTTATAACAGTAGTGAATATATCCCATAACCGAATTACTGTCCGAGTAACTTATCTATTGTACTCTTTTATAAACAAAAGACAGAACAAAACCTTCCTTGTAATATACTGTTATTGTAGAATTTCGTTATATAATAAAAAAAAATTTAATTAGTTTTCAAAAGTTTAATTAAATGTTCTTATTATGGTATCTGATTAAAATTTAAAATATTTTTACAGAAATAATAGTAAAGATAATATAATTCGATAATTTAAACTTGAAAATTCTTAAAAATCAGTAACGTACAATTCTGTTAAGTTATGGCAATGCAACGCTTGGGCGATTTGCCTAGGGGGATTAGCCTTCCGGGATTTCTTTTTAAGGGAAACTGGCCCTATTTAGGCGTTACAAATGAGGGAGAAAATCCACTTCTGTACGTGGCCAGCTTGTCCGAGAGAGGCTCGAACCCACGACCGAATTCCCAGTGTTCGGGGTACGAAGACCGCTTGCCCACCAGTGGCTAAACGGTCTTCCCATTACTTTGTTGGAATATAAAGTTGTAATCGTCGACACAAAACAGATATTCCAAGGATTCCAAGGATAATGTAAAGCAAATACCACCGTCTCCCGACCTCGTAATATATACATATTTCCAAAAAGCAATACATCATAGTTTATTAAGCACTGGACTAACGATACCTATTACATTAATGATCATCTCGTAAGTAATGTTTTTTTAAAGTTTTAAACATTTAAAACACTTAAATATATATATTTTTTAAATTACAGTTGTATCTATTTATTTATATAAAAAGACGGTAATCAATTTTTATCCATTTATAGACCAGTAATATCATCGATCCTATACTCATCTGGAATATTTGTGATTTCGAGATGTTTATACAATTTACGTTTTATTACTTCTGGAACTGTTTTACCATTAACGTGTCCTTGTTTCCGTTACAATTAAATTGAACTCACTACTTACTGTTGATTGAAAATTAATTTAACTGCATCAATATGCACAGCAAACCTAACTTTTTAACTTTTCCTTGGTTTCACCTATAGAATTTTGAATTTACGAACATTCTAATTTACCTATTACTTCATCACGTTCTAAAATATGAATTTTATTATTAATATTTATATTACTACTATGTAATTTTATTTGCAATAAAGTACAGGTATTAGTGTGAAAATCCAAGAGTAGAGTCATTTTATATAATCACTTAAAGATATATTCAATTAGTTAATATTTTAGCGGCAAAAATGACACATTTGTCACTTTTCTGTCAAAAAGGATAATCGAACTTCCTATCACAAGAGCTTATCTCTAATTTTGACGAACATCTGGACGTCTAACACATTAACTAATAGTCCCATCAGCTGATACAAACCCAAAATTTCTATTGGAAGAAACTTACGCATAAAAAGGGCGATTTCACAAGATTCCAGGCAGTCAGCGATAACAATGACTTGCCATAGAAGGTAGACGTCCGTAGAGAAAGAACTGCCATATAAAAATGTGGAAACCATACGAAGAGCATAGTGCCGCTCCGGTTCCTCATCCCCAGTCTCCAAACCTACCTACATCTCCATCTGCCGATTATCGCCGATTAACCACTTCATACGAAGCATATTAATCAAGACTTCAATTTACTATTAAAATCTTGTTTTCGCTTTACACGTCGTCATAATAAAACTGTAACAATTGGCAATTTTATTCTTATCAATTGTTATTAAACTATTATTTGGTTCCAGCTGTTCACATTATGGATTCAGAGAAAATCGAACTCGTATCGTCAGACAGGGGAAAAATAATTATTTCTTTATCCACTTTTAATAAAATTCGCAACGAACAGCTGGAATCTATAATTGAAGGTGGAAAAAAATCGAGCATTCTGAAACTGCCATACCCCACAGAAGTCGTCGCTCGGGTTGTTAAGTGAGATAATCTTAATATATTGTATCTTAAAATATAAAAGTAAAAATATTTGCGATTTCAAAAATATATTTTTATTTATCTCGCAGTTATTTGCGTACAGATGATCCTCAGTTAAAATCCTTGGACAACAGTTTCCAGTTGTATGACTTGAGCAGAAAATATTCAATTAAAATTTTAAGCAGAAAGTGTGAGAAGTTCATTATTGATCAGTTGAATATGAAAAATGTGTGCGCAATTTACGATTTTGTGTGCAAAATGAATCTCTCTCAGATACAACATCGTTGCTGGAAAATTTTCGATACGTATTGGACAGAGATATTCGAGGGAGAAGACTTCAAATCCTGTGAAACTACGACAATAGACAGGTTAGTGTCTCGTCCATTATACACAAGTATGAGCGAAGTGGATATATTTTTGGCTGTCTACAACTGGATAGAAGAGAAGTGCAAACGAGAGATGGGAACGTCATTTGTTCAAATGGATGAAAACGCCAAGAAAGAAAAATATCGAGAAGAATTGAAACCATTTATTGAAAAAATCAGATTCTTAGCCATGAGCAAACAGGAATTAATTAATAAAATATTCAAACTATATTTGTTTACTGAAGAAGAAGAAAAATTTATCCTCGTCTGTAAAGAAACGAAAAATTTTTCAGTTTTCCCGAGTTATTTGAGTAAAAACTCAAACGACAGATGCAAGAGCAAATCTTTAAATTATACATCTTTATTCGAGTATAAACATAAAAAAGAATCTTCTCGTGTAAATCAAGAAATCAAAAAGCCATTTACGTATTTCAGCACCGAGATATTTGTGAGGGAAGATTGTTTCGTCACTAATCTCGATCTTCCCATTACACTTAATAGTAAATACTTACCAATGCATATCTATGGTTACATAAATTCGGTAGAAAGCGGTGTTCTTCATTTGGAATCTTTCTGCAATTCCCTAGGAAAAGTAAAGTTGGTTGAACCAATATTCGTTGGGAAAAATTCGACTTGTCGTCTGTGCGCAGTTTTTGCTCACGATCATTGGCTTCTTCACAATATAAATTCACCTTTACGATCAGCAGAAATTTTTGCTACTCCCGAACAATCGGAGGGGATGTTATTCGAAGAGAAATTGATTAAAGATGGGATCATTGAAGAAGAAAGTAATAATTTTTACTTCTTTGTCTACTTGTACTTTTAAAAAGAATCCATATATTGCTTCACTTATATAAATTCGACAAACAAGATCTGAAAATTTACACTTGAGGTGATTTTACAGTATCAAATTTTATTTCGAATAATCGTTAAAAACATTTCCGTTTGATAAAAATTTAATTAAAAAATAATAAAGAATATTTTTAAAATAAAATTAATGTATTTAATCATTTAAAAAGTTTCTTCTCAATTTTTAACACTTTTCGCTCTTGTAGGCATTAAGGGGCCTATTTATTCACACATATTTGGCCAAAAATAGCGATTATCTAAGCCGACTCATTTATAAATAAATAACTACTGCTGATGTAACGTTCAAGGATTTCATGTGTCTTAAAACTTAATTTTAGATCTTTACAAATAGTTTCTATTATTCGAAAAGTAGGAATTTAAAGATCGTTAATTTGGCATCTAAGGACCAGAGGGATGCGTATTATTGAAAAAATTCAGATTACGAGACGTTTCTGTACAAGATGTGTGACTTTAACTCCTGGAATGGGCGCTTAGTGTTGACTGTAACATAAGTATATCGAAATAACATACGCATTCATGTTGGAACTTGTTTAAATTAATACGTGCATCATTTTAAACTTGATAGAGATAGTTGTCAATTAGCTATTCGAAAAATAATCGTTATCTGCGTACACTATTTTACATAATGACAGAAATTTAGAGCGATGTATTAATATTACGATTTTTATGAAAATCGGCAAATTCGCTATTGACAATAGTAATGTCGTTACTTTATGTAGGAAGGGGTCATTAATTGTTTTTGATAAAATTAGTAACAAATAACGTTACGCTAATTGCAACTGTTTTACAATGTCNAAAATTCAGTTTTTGTTAGCACAACATGGATTTTTTTTAAATTTTTTACAAATTTTTATCCAAAAATGGTTACTTCACCCAACCTGGTTGAGTTAAATGACTATTAATATTAGTGTTGCAACGAATAGAATATTCGGCTAGGAGCGTGGCCGAATAGCCAAATATTCAACCAAACTATTCGGCTTGATTAACGCATGTACGAAAATTGGCGCGCAAACCGCATTATGGCAAGGACCCTGCTCTTCATTGGCCCACTGTCACTACGCTAAATAAGTCTAGAGTCTGCACATAGAAGTGATACTTGGATTTTGTGCACATAGTGATCTCCCATACGAAGAAGTAAATGAACTTTATCTCCAAAGTTACATACAGAGATGAAGACGAACGATAACTAAACAGGTCGTATGTTTTATAACGATTTTGTGAGCTCTCTCTCTCTCGATCGCGAATAGGGTATAAGTTTAATTATCTCCTGATTTGTATATTAGTTGTAGTAGTTCTATCTCTCGTTCATTCAGATTTTTGTATGAGTTTATTTCCTTGTTTTATTAAATTTATTATATCGTTTTTAATTGGGATGTCTCTTGTTTGCGTGACCAAATCAGATCGCATACGCTTGCTAATCCGCGTATAATAAGATTGATTAACTGGTGTCGGGACCCTGACAATTTGGGATAAAGANTATTATATCGTTTTTAATTGGGATGTCTCTTGTTTGCGTGACCAAATCAGATCGCATACGCTTGCTAATCCGCGTATAATAAGATTGATTAACTGGTGTCGGGACCCTGACAATTTGGGATAAAGACTTCACAGTCTTGAATCCCCTTTTCCTAAATATTACCGCCCTCCCGGTCAAACGAATCTTGACATAAGATCGGATCTCTCGATTCGAACCTTCGGAGACAGATTTCGGTTAATCTGTGCCTATTAAGTGTTACACGAGTACTACCTACTCCGTAACCCCGGCTACTCTCACAATTGCATTTAGAAGAGCAAATAATGATTCTTTCATTAACAGTTTTTTAAGTTACTTTCTACCATATATCTAAACGGCTTGCTGTATGGTATATTACAATATAAACCCGTCTCTGTAATCCGAAAAACACACTTTGGTAGAGGTATCTCACAGGAATTTCTGGTTAGCAAATTGTTTTTTTAAAGCAATTTGCTAACCAGAAATTTCTGATAGAAATTGCAATAAAGAACTATGTATAAATAACGTAATTATTTAAAATTTATTAATTATTCCTGCTAAAAATTGCGGACGACGATAAAAACGTGCTGAGGAACTTTGCTGTATTAAGTTAAAATAATAGAGCAGAAAGTAGAGTAAAATATTAATTTAACTAAAACAAGAAAATAGTAACGTTAGGAAACCGTTAGAAATAAAGAACGACCGTTACAGCGACCGTTAAAACCGTTAGGCCGTTATAACGGCTAAAATTTAAAAAACTCCATGATAACTAATAATGAAAAATTAAAACCCCGATAACTCGAATAATAAAGGAAGACTGCCCAATTACAAAACTAATAGATATCCCCCACTACTCCCTGGTGTCGTCCCCCAAAAAGTTATTCTTCCTCCCGCTAGACCGAAAGGAAAAGTAAAAATTAAAAACTAATTAACATCCCGTAATTAAGCTATGACCATAAATGAGGTATCAAACTAATTGTTATCCTGAGACAAACTACCTGTTGTCCAAACCGTTATCCACAACCTAAGAGTTCCGGCAGAATTAACGAAAGTTTACGGAGCAAAAAAAGAAGCACAACCTTCCAGTCTGGCACCTCACCGACAGTCGCCTTTTAGTCTGTGGATAATTGGCGCAGATACATTAAGATTAGGTTGGTTCCTCACATCTGTTGAGAGCATTGCAGTAGGCATGTTGGGCTGGCGCTGGTAGTTATCGCCACCTGTAGCCAAAGGAGACAATTATCTAATTTTCGAACATTAGCATCTGCCTACAGCAGGAAAGCAGACTTTGTTAATCCTGGTGATGTCAAAGAGGATATCACACTTACAGCTGATTACTACCATGTTAAATATCTCTGCACAATGTGGATATGATCACTATTAGGTTCATTTCTTTCCGTAGCCCTTACTGGCATGGGTGTGCTTACCAGAAGCTTGTGCTCCATCCTGCATTGCCCTATGGATCAGTAAAATTACTCGGATCTCCCAACATGACCAGGTAGTGACGACGAAAAAGTTATTATTATGAATAATATAATTATTAACCTATGTCGATTATATTATAAGATATCTAAAAAGCCTTCTGAGTGTCAAAATAAATTCTCTATCAATTTACAGTTCAGTTTCTTTTGAAATAAAACTAAGCGACTGTATGTAATGAGCATGTAACTTATTACAGTCGGTTTCTTAACAAAGGAATAACGATAACTTCACGAGGCATTAATAGACAAAGTTTTGAGGTCGATTGCACATTAGTTATTCGATCTTATTTATTGTCGTCACTGTTCATTACTAGATCAAACAATGTAATTTCTATCTTTATTTTGCTGGTTAGTAGTGTTATGTTATACCAATTAAACGTTCAAGCTAAATTAGTAATGAAATATTCTTCTTTAGTCATTTTACTGTCAAATGGTTTTTGATATTGATTAACGAAAAGTTTTAAGAATTGTCAGCAGAAGCAACAATGAAGGAAACGTTACACTTATTTTCATTTTATATTTTATCGCTCAAACAAGAATTGAATCATAAAAATACAAAAAGTAAAACCGATTCTTTACATAATAAGTCACGTTATAGGATTAATGTTAAAGTAATGCATCAATATTTAACGAAATAACACGAACTACAATTCAAAATTAATTATGATTATGAAAGGCCAGAATTTAACCAATATATGTAATTTCCGTCGAAAACTCTATAAAGTATAAAATTTGTTCCAATCACCAATTAAGATGATTTTCTTCAATTCTCGGACTGTTTTCGCTGTAAAACTGAGAGTACCATTTTTTATATCTGGCAATTGACCTGTCTTCTGACACGTAAACTGGATTCTTAACATACATTTTGTAATTCCATATGCGAACGTCCCGTTCAAACTATCAACATAAATATTTCAAAGAATTAATACACATACCGTGTTTCCCCGAAAATAAGACAGTGTCTTATATTAATTTTTGCTCTAAAAAATGCACTAGGTCTTATTTTCAGGGGGATGTCTTATATTTCCATGAAGACGAATTCACATTTATTGTTGAACAATACGCTAAACAGGTTCGAGAGAACACCATGCGACACATTCAACTTAACCTTTTTATAGTGTCCACATCGAGCTCGATGACCAATTAGTGCTTACTGAACCGTAGCACTATGCAAATGTGATGTGGCGTGTTCCCAGCCGACCAATTAGCGATCACCAGCGATAACATTATGCAAATCTGTGATTCCCAAGCCATAGTCTTATGCAAATCATGCCGTGTGGCGTAATTGTCTGCTGACCAATCAGTGGCTGTACTTGCAAAAAGCCAACGGTCACTTTCAACCATCTGTCGATGACCGTTACGACTAAAAAAACTTCGCTAGGTCTTACTTTCAGGGGGAGGTCTTATATTTCGCAATTCAGCAAAACCTGTGCTAGGTCTTATTTTCTGCGGATGTCTTATTTTCGGGGAAACACGGTACTTTCTATATATTTTCAAATTTCAATAATCAGAATGACACAATCTCACCATCCAACATTCAACTAAGAAAAAAAGAAAATCAAGTATGGCTGCAAATCGAGGAGGACAGTAATAATGTCGGATACATCTCTGTCGAAATGGTCTTTCTGGTATGATGCCGTATACAAGTAATATATCTCCATAAAAATGTTTTACACGAACATGTATTATTGCTGGACCTATCTGAAAATAAAAATATAATACACATGCGATTATTTTATACAAAAAAATAATTGTTTGTAAATGCGTTTAAAATTTTCGCGTTGTAACGAATAATTTTACGTAGGGGAGAGCATAGTAAATTGGCCACTCTGATCTAAAATGATTTTTTTGCTCATATTTTCTAATTTGCAAAAACGATTAAAATAGTTCTACATAAACTACATGTAGTGTAAAATCGATAAAAGAATTTCATTTTTATTTGCACAACATGGATTTTTTTAATTTTTACAAATTTTTATTCAAAAATGGTTACTTCACCCAACCTGGTTAGGTAAAATGATTATTAAAGTATTGCGAGGTACAGTTCATTGAAATTTTTTGCAATTATAGCATATGGAATTGCATTATTTCGTAC